CGGAATTAATCTTGATGAAGGCCAATATGTCAAAACTATGTTTTAACATATTTAAAATTTAAAAATCAAGACGCCATTTTTAAAATTTAAAAATCAAAAGAAGCCATTCAACCGCTGACGTCAATAGTAACAATTTTATATAAACTATAATGATTAAAACTATTGTAATATTTTACAAGCTGATGATGCTGGTATCCATAACCCAGCAAAAATTTCTTCTATAATTAAATTATTTGTATTGAGAGAAACTGCATTTTTTGATGTTTTAAAATAATATATAATATACTCTCATACATAATGTCATCTTTCAAATATATATAAGATGACATCTTGTTGCGCTTATATAAACATTAAGAATATTTATTGGCTTTAGTAAATATATCGGCTATCTTATAGCCTGCTGCTATAAAGGAATTCCCTACATAAGTGAAAAATAGTTGAAAAAACTGGCATAATTGCGAATCGGGATAAGTACGACTTGGCATAAGTGAACCAAAAGAATTTGAAAACATTCGCACAAGTGCGAACTGGCATAAGCGCAAAGCAGTTTCAAAAATGGCATAAATACGAATTGGCATAAATGCGCCAAACGAATTTACAAATATTGGCATATATGCAAATGGGCATAAACGTAAACTGGTATAAGTGCAAAGCAGTTTCAAAAAGTGCAAACTGCCATATGTGCGAACTGTTATAAGTGTGAAGTATAAATTGGCAGATTTGCAAAATGGCATATGCGCGTCAAAAAAGTTTGTAAAAAGTGACATAAGTGCACCAAAAGAACTTGAAAAGATTGGAATAAAATTTGCACTTATGCCAGTTTTTACAAGTGCTTTGCACTTACAACTGATCGCACATATGCTAATTTCACTTATGCTAATTGTTTTGGCATACTCATGCCAGTTCGCATTTATGCCAGTTTTTAAAAATATTTTGAATTTATACCAATACGCATTATAAAGATTCGCTGTAATGAAATTCATACTTAATCATTTGCCTCAAAAATCAATAGTCTTTATGGAGCATATATACAGGCCCGTAGCAACGGGGAGGGTGGGGCAGCAAGGACATTTGCCCTCCCCTCTCCCAACAATTTTTCAAATTATTAATTTTGAAGAAATCGACTGAAAAAATGACAAAATAACAAAACAAATAAAAGCAAGGTCCTTAAAACTATTTCGAGGTAGTACTGCATCCCAAATATAATTTTTGTTCCTACAAACCTGATATATATTTGACCAGCGCGATAGGAGGGTGTGCTCCTCTTTCCCCATTAATGAATTTTTCGTTCGTTTAGTAGACAAATTTGACTTTTTTTGACAAGTCAATCGGCAAATGTAGACGTTTGTTGGCAAATTTAGACAGTCAGTCGGCAACTGTCGATTAGTAAGTCGGAAAATTTTGAAAAACAAGGATCGTTTTTTCAAAATTTTCCGACTTACTAATCAATTTTTTTGTCAGATTTTCATCTTAATATATTTTATTGTATAAGTTTTGCTTTTAATTAGCAATATGTTTTTTTCTTATTTTGTTTTCTTTTTTTTATTAATTTATTTTAATTTCATGCTATATTTTGCAATACAATGCACTTATATGGGAAGATATTGTTGGCTTAGCATAGAAACAGCCAGAAATAGTCATTAATCCAAAGTAACGTCCATTATTGACCAACATTTTTGCGTATTCAAGCGCTGAGTTTGCGGAGGCTGGATTTGAACAACAGTCCGAGTTTTAACCAACTGACCTATCTAGCCAACTAACTTATTTTGCTATATCCTACTTTAATATCCGGATGTTTTATGGCTTATTTATATTTACTTTGATATTTTTATAAATCTGGCAACTATTAAGTGCTATTTTAGTTTTCTTCTTGTTTGACTTTTTGCATCTGAAAAAATTCTCTGTAAGCATGCTTAAGTTTTTGGAGTAAAGAGTTTGGGTAAACATGCTTAAGTTTGGAGTTTGAAAAACGCTTGAACATGTTATATTTAAAAAATCTAAAAAATCCTGTGGACGGCCTATGTGTTAATTAGAAAAACTATTTTTTTTAAGCTAAAATAGTACTTGAGACACCCCGTCAAAAAAGCAAAAAAGCATATTTTTAACTTATAGTCGGTATTTTAAGGAATATTATAGGGTATTCGGCATTTGACACCTTTCATTCGGCAGATTTTTAGTTTTAAGGAATTTTTTTTTAAGAAAGTAATCGGCAGTTTTAAAGGATTTGCTCGTCTCATTTTATTCATAGATGCTCTTGTGCTAGCAATCACATTTGAAATAACACTAATTAACCACATTAAAATTTAAATAAGCCAAAAAAATGCATGCAAATTGTTTTCTCTATTGTTAATCTAAACTGTTGATATAAATTCTGGCCTACTGTGGTATGAGTAGTTCTTTTTTTCTTTTAGCTTTTTAGCTCTAGATTTGTGTTGGTATGCCATTGGTATAGGGGCATATAAGGACACTTAAGAAATAAATGTTGTGGATAAACTAATCATAGTTAACCGAGTAAATTTTGACATTTTTAGTTGTTTTTAAAAGGCAATAAATTTAAAATATGTATAAGGTGATTTAACAATGGCGAAATTCATTTAACTTTGCCGATTAAAGTTAAACGAAGTCGAATATTAAACATTCGTCAAACCACCGAAGTTTAACAAATTACTATTCGCTATTCGTTTAATGAAAACACTTCGCCGGTGCTTATGCGTGATTTAGGGATGCGTGTTAACAACTTTTTCGAGTTAAAAAAATAGCGAAAGCTATTTTACAGTTGCACCTTTAAATGGAAACTTTAAAGTAATATTTAAATACTCAATTTTAATTTATCAGTTTTGCTTAAAAATAGTTCTCGAATGTCCTACTTTTTTTTGTTTAAATAGTCTTTAAGTTAAAATTAAGATTAACAATATAAAAAGTTTTTTTGTTTGTCTTTTTTTTGTTAATCTGTAAAATAAAGTTTAAAACTTAACGTAAGTCTTTTAAGAACATTTTTATAAACAATTTTTTTTTTAATTTAATTTAGGTGCCCTAAGAAGTCCTTACGGTCTTATCACAGAGCACCGCGGATGAGCATTTAATTGGAAGTTCACGCCTCTTTCCTAACCGATATCGCAAAACTTGCCTAGAGGTGGGGTTTGAACCACGGATCCTTTGTTTCTGTGGCAAGTGCGCTACATAATAAAGTCAATTTCTTTTAAATAAAAATATAAAACTGATTAAAACGTTTATTGCACGAAAAACTCAATGAATATAATTAGGGTAGAGCAGGGCATATCGGAATAGTGGGGCATAACGGGACAGTTATGCCTAAAGTCTTATATCTCAGCTAAAAAATACTTTTTTATAAATATTTTTTTTATAAAACATTTAAATTATTGTGCTTTGTTATTGTAAAAAAAATTTAATTTTAGAAATATCAAAATGCGTTATAAGTACTTAAATGCATCAGTAAGTTTGCAAAAAACAAAATTTGCGTATTTTCTTAAGCGGTACAACGACAAAAGATTTATCTTAAACTATTGCGAATTAACTTTCTTTATAAAAAGTTTATATTTTTCAGACAGTATTTTTTATCCTCTTTTAGAATCTGGTTTTAAAAATAATTTGGAATTGAACTTTTTGAATAGTATTATTTTCAGTCAAATGACTTTTGTCGGGCATATTGAGACAACAAGCTATTTATATGATTATATAATTGAATTACTACCATTTGGTGACGATGTTTACAGTTGAACGATTTTTATTTTTAATCTAAAATATTACTTTTCTAATTTAGAAAACCAATTTTAGTAATAAATTCAAAAAAATTCTGATTGTTATAATTTAACTTCGATTATTAATAGTGCTTAATGTAAACAAAGAAGGTAAAAAATTAAATAAAAAGATCAATCATTCAAAATGGAATGAAATGCAGTTTTAGCTGCGAGTGAAAACAAACTTAAAACTAGAAAAGCTGTTGATACATATGGCATATTTAAGTTTGCTCTACATAACCATATTGCTAATAAGACAGCTCATCAAAAATGTTGCCAAATAGTTTCAGGATATTTTTTGTCTGATTTGATCCATAAATTTTTATAGTATATAGGTTAGAGTAGAGCGGAGATTTTATAATAAAACACAAAAAATGCCTTAACTTATTAATAAAAATTTTTGTTTTTGTTTTTTTATATTCTTATATCAATAAATTTTAGGAAATTTATAACAGTGTTAACTATGATTAGTTCATCCACAACTAGCAAAAAATATCAATGTTATATATTTATAAATTGATATAGCAAATTATAACAGTATTGTTGTATTTCTTATTGATGGCCGAGTAAAAGTAAAAGCTAAAAAGCAAATGCTCAAGACAAAAGCAATTGCTCGAAGGCGCCTAAATAAAGTTATAAATAAGCAAAGTTTACTTAATAGCAATTGCATCCGCTGAAGAGAAAATGCTTTATGCCGCAACTAAAAATTGCTGCTTTTAGTGTAAATTAGACTGATACTAATGCTAACCAAATTAAAATAATGATAACAAACGCGAAGATGAAGTATTTATTAATATTTTATTTGAAATACCAATTCTCCTTAATAAAAAAAGTCAAGTTCCCTATATTAAAATAAAGAAGAAAGCATTTTAAGGATGTAAGAAAATGAGAAGCAAATACTCGCTGTTTTTGAAGTTAAATTATTTGTTTACGCTTTTTTCTCATATGTAAGCAATTGCTCAGAGTAAAAACAATCGTGAAAAAAAGCAACCCAGACGGCATGCGTAGTCCGGTGGACGTCCGTTAGGCGTCTAGACGTCCTCGAGACGTCTAACTGACGTTTCCCGGATGACGCGTGCTTACTGGGAACTGCTTAAAATTTTTATTTAAGTAAAGTTAAGCCATTACTGCAAAAACGCTGAGTAAAATCAAATACTGTTTTTTTATTTACCCGGCCTAATATGATAAAACAACTTTGATAAATGCAGAAATCCGGATAAAATGGGAAATAAAACATAAGTGTATATATATAACGATATAAGACATTTAAAATTTATATACATTTTCATAATACCAAAAACTCATCTGAACTATGAACAAGCATAGTTATAAAAATGTTGACCTGAAGAAAATTTTTTATAATTTTTTTACTCCAACACATAAAAATGAATTTTATATTGAAAATTAACTAAAAGTACAAAATAATCAAATTAAAAAAGAAATTCACAAAGAAATTAAAAAGCTGTATCAAAATTAAAGGAAGAATTATTGTTTACATCATCAATGTCTTTTTCTGTTTTAACAACTCCATCTGATTCATCTTTTAGTTCGTTTTTAAGTAAGGACTGTTCGTTGGTTATTTCGACATCCACATCTGCCTTTATTTGGTATTTTTCTGATTCTTGAAAACCATTTTTGAAGGAATCAACAGTATGTTCAGGGTTTATCTCTGTAACTATCTGATGTGACGGTAACTCATTTACAGAATCAGACTGTAATACAAAAGGTTTGTCAGATGTTTCGTATATTTTTACAGCATTTTCCAACTCTTCTTTTGAATTAGGATGGTCATTTGTTTGATCCAAAGAAAAATCACTTTCTAACGGACTGTTCGAAAAAAGATTTGTTTCAAGAAGTGCAGAAATTTCTTGCGTTAAATTCATTTCGGATTTTATTTCCAATAATGGATCAGATAATCTGGTAACAGGATCATCTAATCGATTAGATGACTCTAGATCAATTATTGGTGACTCAACTAAATTCTCTTCTAGTTCATTTTTATTGAGAAAAACAGTCTCTTGATTATATAATGGGGACACTTCTTCGACTACTGCATTTGTTAAGGACGCTTCTTTGTCTACTAATACATGTGTAGGGGGTACCTCATCTTTTACAGCAGCATTGGTTAAAGATAGCTCTTCTACATTACAAGATTCAACTCTATTAAAATCAATAGCTGATATATCTGTACTTAAATCATCTAAGTGGGATTCCTTTGATTCAATATGTTCAGTAGGCAAGTTAGGTATTCCAACAGTTTGATCAGTTTTACTATTAGAATTTGCTAAATCAGTAACACTTTTTTCATTGTCCTTTTGTAAATTAATTAACTCTACAGAGTTATCAACTGTTTCATATAAAAATTCAACAGAATCAGCTTTAACATCTTGGGCATTTAGTTCATCAGAAACCTTTGAAAACTGGATTTCATTACTGGCTTGATTAGGTTTTGACAAAGATAACGCTACAGAGTCAGGTGGTAATTCACCACTAACCTCATCTTGTACTTTTTTGCCATCTTGCTGAATAGCATCAGATTCTAAAATAACTTGACTATGAATTTTTTCATTTTCTACTTTTTCAAAAAACAATCCTCCTTTTTTAGAATCAAGCTCAAAGCTCATCTTTTCTAGCTCTTCTATAGTTTCATTTAATTGACGCTGTCCGTTAACTATTTCATTATTTTCACAGACAAAAACGTCGTCCGTAGCTTTTGTTTCTGGTTGAGTTTCTTTTTCGCTTGTGTCCGGTGTTAGTTTTGTAAAATGCTCTTCTGAAATAATCAAGTCATTGTTATCCAAAGATCCAAAACTCTTATTCTTATGATAAAAAGACTCTTCGGTAGTGATTGACGGAGAAGGCATTGTCTCCGAACGATTTTTGGAAAATGCGCTACGTTTGTTTTCAACACTCCCTCTTGACGGTTTTGGAAGAACTTTTGGAGGTTCCATTTTATCTAAACCATATTTTTGAAGTTGTTCGTTTGATCGAAGTTCTGATGGTAACACGCCATGCTCTTTCAAAGATCGCTGAATACGATATGCTTCATATTTTTCAGAATAAATTGAATTAGTGGTAGTGTTGGGATTCTCCAAATTAGCTTGCAATCTCGCAAAAGCACCTAAAATATAAAAATGTGGTATATAAATATTATTTATATATATATAGTACAAGGCCGACGGTGCCGTTTTTTGGCGTTAGAAATAACTAACTTCCAGAAATTGTGCAAACTCCAAACATTTTTATGTTTATACTTATGTAAAATAAGGATGCTTTACAAAAAATTGCGATGATTGGAGCTTGGGAACAAAAAAGCCCAAAAATTTGTGCCCCCCCCCAGCCCCAAACGTGAGAGCAACCAGTTGATAAAATATGTTTTGTACTATTCTTAACTAGACTAATATTAATCGATAATTTTTAAACCTCATAGTAAAATAATTTTGCGTTCAAAAATTATGACAATATAAAGTTTTAACCCTCCTATTTTAGGGGGTTACAAACTTTATATGGACATAATTTTTGAAAGGTAAGAGATTATACTATAAAACTTAAAATTTATCGATGAGTATAAGTCTAGTTAAGAATAGTGCATAAAATATTTTATCAACTGGTTGCTCTTCCGTTTGGGGCAGGGGGGCACAAGTTAAGAGTTTTTTTTTGTTCCCAGTCTCCAATCATCGCAATTTTTTGCAAAAGCATCTTTACTTGACATAAGTATAAACATATAAATGTTTGGAGTTTGCACAATGTCTGGAAGTTAGGTATTTCTAAAGCCAAAAACGGCACCGTCGGCCCTATAGTATATAAATAAACAGTGGCTACGGGTAGACGTATTCCTAACAAAATAAATAAAAAAGATTTTCGGACGTAGTAGAAGCTAATACTAAAGCAACTTTATAATGTTAATTTACGACAATAATAGTTGACTTAGATGTGGTTTTTCTTATGTAATATGAACTCAGAGATGCGGTATCAAATTACGCACTTGGAAGTTTTTTTTATACTTATGAAGTTTTATATTTTATTTCGAATCTATTATTGTTGTTTATTGATAATTATGTTATTAGTAACTAATTATTATGATTATTTGACATTTTCTAAAAAAAAAAAACAGCAAAATAGGCAGCTCTTTTGTAGTTTTAACCGGACGACGATAAGTCCTAATGCTCGAGAAACAATCAGTGAATTGCAACTGATTTTTCCTGACGAGAATATTTTCAAAAACAATAATTTTATTTGGCCTTCTCGGTAGTTAAATTTAACAGCTCCAGACTTAACTCCTATGGGGTAGCTGATGTTTAAATTATAAATTTTTTTGAATTTAAAGTCAAATAATGACAAAAATTAAACTTTCATGGGATTTAGGTGATTTTGTAGTTACTTACAGTGACATGGCATTGCAAGGTTATTTGGGAGTTACCTTGCATCAAAAGTATATTCTGGCAGTGGTAACCAGTAGCTTCTACCTTCTATTTGGGTTGGCGACCGCTAAAAACTTTGCAATTTAGTTATTGCAGATAAAGCTAGAATTAACCAACGTCAATTTTTTTTATCGATGTTTTTGTCATTCTGAAACTATATCAATTGTATTTAAGTTTAAAATTATTTTTAGATTTGCATGTGTGGAACGAAGCGGACTTTCACATTGACTCAGATAAAGCAGAAATTTCATCGATTAAACTTCTTTTTTTCTTCAAAACTTAAACAGGTATTTTAAAAAATTAAAACGGGTATTTTAAAGAACTATAAAAAAAAAAATCCTATTAAAAGCTATTGAAAAAAAATAAATAAAAAATAAAAGATAAATACGAGAATTTATGAATTTGTTTTTAAATCTTAAAATGCATATTTTTAAATGCTCAATTGATTACCTTAGAGTCACTTTCTAAACTTTTAACAGAAGTTTTTTTTTGAAAAATAAAATAAAAACATAATTATTCAAAAAATAACTTAAACAAAATAATTATATTTTAAAATGAAAAAAATTTTTAGAAAATTGAATTTATTAGAAGGTCATTACAAGAAAGAACACATGTTTTTGGATATTAACAAATCGCAACCAAAAACTTGCTTGAAACATTTCATTTTTAATTGTGTTTAAATGACAATTTAAAAAAAATTACGCTGTGGTTACTTGTTTATTTCAAAACTACGCATTTAATGGATAAATCAAATCACGTTGGAGCCGTACTCTCATCTCATCGATGAGCGTTATCTAAAACTTCTTTTAAACTTTGTTTAAAAATTTGTAAAAGTTCTTTTAAAACAAATGACTACTTTGGCTTTTATTTAATTTGAATAAAGTTTCTAACATTTCCTTACTAAAAAAGCTGGAAAATGATATTTAAGACTGATGCACCTTTGATATTAACGGAGAGATGTGAATATAGTTCCAGATCACGCGAATAAAGTTTACAAACTGAATTTATTTTGTTGTTTACATTATTTTGATTATTCAAGCATAAACTTTTCATATATTTTTTACGATAAATTTCTGATTAAATCAGATAGAATCTGATAATTTTGCAAAAAAGGTTGAATATTTAGGTTTTAGTGTTAAAATATTTTTTATTTGAAGACAATAAAATAAGCACATTTTAATACTTTTACGCGAAAACTCATAAAAGCCACACCCTTGGTTCTGCAATTGTAAACTATTCTTTTTTATCACAACATTTTTATTTTATATAAAAAAGGCGAGACGCTGTAAAATTAAACTCTATTGAATGCACCTTTAATGTCTCTTTTTTAAATCATTTGTTAACTTCAATTATTTTATATAGTTTAATGTTATTAATTGCAACAACAACAAAAAAATCAACCATACCTCCCATTTTTGGTCCAGCTGATGCCTCACTGTCAAAAGAAAAAGATCGTGATCCAGCATTTCGAAATGCGGCTGATTTTGAAGCTCCACTTAAATTTTGGGCTGCTTTTGTTTGATCTGTGTTGTCCTGTTTAGGCTTTGGAGCAACAATGGGTGGAATTCTTTCTGCCGTTACATGATCTAGGTTTGGAGATACTGGGGTATCCCAGCCCGTCGGAAGCGTTTTTCGACGTTGTCTTTCTTCTGTCGGTGACTTTTGCTGTTGTAACGCTTTTGAAAAAACGTACGACATTTTTTAAAACAAAACCAGTTCTATTTTTGGTTCAACAAAAAACCAACTTCGATTTAAAAATACTTTTTGTTGTTTTCTTTAATCTTGTCTTTTAACAAATTTAATTATTTTGAAAAGTTAACTATTATTTTAGTTAATGACTTGCGGACAAAAATATATAAAAATTTATAAAATTTCTTTTAACCAAACCAAATGCGTCTTATGTTTTTTAAAAACTTTCTAAAACTGTCTCATCAAAAAAGCAAGCTGCGGTTCATGCGCTTATTGACCTTACGAAACAAATAACTGTGAAAAAACAACAACATAAAGAGACTAGATTTATTGTAAATTGCTGATATTGTCGCAAATTAATTTGTACTATTTATTTTTAATTAACGCATAAATTAAATAAATTACACGAATTTAGTTAATTGCTAGTCTTATCATACTATTTAAAAAAAATAATAATAAAAAAAAAAAATAAAACTGTTTTTCTAGTTTTTACTTAAAAAGTTTATAAATTCTTAAGCATTTTTACATGTAAACCATGGCGACTAGATTATCAAATACAGCGAGACAAATATGTAAATTAGCCTTTTCTCAACAATTACATAATAATGGCTCTTTTAAAAAAAACACCAAACACAGCTATTTAAACTTAATTTTGAGAAAATTTCCCATAAGAAAAACACCCTGCTTTCAATCATAACAACATTATTAAGTGGTCAACAGAGTTTACCTTAAGACCTCCTATGCAAAGTAAACACGAACACTTTCAAGTTTAAATGATTTTAATAAAAAGTAAATAAAAGTAGCAACGATATAATGGAAGAGCGTGTTTTTGACTTTTAAAATGACTTCCTTTTCACTCGTAATTGACAAACTGATAACCTATTAACTGATCAACGGATCAGCTAATTAAATTTTATTGATTTATTTTTCTTTAATCTTGATACGTTTGAAAGATTTATTAAAATTATGCAACTAACAAAATTGATCTCATACAAAAATAAAACAAAAACAATTTTAAAATCTTAAGCTCGTTTTAAATAAAAGCTTGATAAATTCCGCATGAACGAACTGAAGTAATAAAAATTTGATAAACTCTGCATGAACGAACTGAAGTAAAAAGCATCTGTCTCTAGAATTTTTTCTTTTCAAAATTGAAATGTATATTTTGGGAACCGGTTGCTGTAAAGCACTAAAAAGTAAATTGTCTTAAAGACAACTTTTTTATATAAATTCAATTTTTACATGAAAATATACCGAACACTTACATTTCTAACTTTTTATTCACGCGCTAATTAAAAATAAGCTTTAAGTATACCTTTTAATAATTACATTTCATAAGTAGAATCGCACTACATAATAAAATATTAATCTTAGCACGTTATTAAAACAATAGATCTTTCCAACGCTCAAACGGAGTAAAAAAATAAACGGAGTCAAGCGAAACAGATATTTAAAAAGTAAACAAACTGGCGTTATAAAAACTTACACGGGGGTTAATTTTTATTTTAACTTATTAATAACTAGCTAAAATTTTATTTTGATCCAAATTTTCGTTGAATATTTTATTTGTTGATACACTAGTAAAATAATTTTTATACAAACTAAATTTTTAAATGACTGAAGCTAGTGGTTAACCCTCTTCCTTCATTCACTTAACCCTTTGAGCAATTACAAGAAGAGTTAAACCCAGTAAAGAGACTTAATCTGTTAGTATTTAACCTTATGTTATAGAATCTTTAAAGTCAAGCAATGAGTTTTAGTTTAAATAGATCAGATTTACAATTTATTATGCACGTTTTGGCTCAACTTAAAATTGACAATATGTTCTAGAACTTAATTTTTAAATGACTGCATTTAAGGAATTACTAAATAATTCAACGGTTAAACATTCCCGCTTTAAAAAAAGTTATTGCAACAATTAACTTTCAGAAAAAACAGTTTAAAAGTTTTCGGTATAAAAATAGCAAAAGATCACTATCTTTTTTTGCGGGATTAAAATAATAGAGGGGTCACAACAAACATCTTCTGTAAAACATTCTTTTAAATAAAATTTACAAGTTCGAGTTTAGAGGTTTTTAAAACTTAAAAATTGGGGAGTTAGTGTTAATTCAAGTTCTGGAACAAGTTTTGTTCTTTTCACTAAAATGAATTGAACAAAAATCAAAAACAACAATAATATTGGGGTGAATTATACTTTAACCACACTACTTTAAAAAAAAGGAATTAAGTACTTAAGTTTGTCTATAAAGTTTAACATAAAAGTAAAAATTTACACTTAATTATCTTTTCTGGGAAAAACTCTGTCAATAAGAGTCTCTAAAAGGAACTTCAAGTAACTTTTCACCAAAAGGCCGCAACAAGGCATTAGTTTTGGTCGAGGGCGTGCTATATATCAGAAAAATGCATATGCATGATCAGGGCCGTCGAGAGCTTTCATGAGACCGGAGAATAGAAGCAAAGAGGCGCCTTTATAAGCATGCATATTTTTAAATCTAAAGCATGTACAATTATACAAGTTAATGACTGTTTTTTTATTTCAAATACTGTTAACTTACCTCTATATTTTTAGGAAAATCTGGATCTAATCTGGATTAAATAACACAGAATCTTTGAAATTAATATCAAAAACTCTTTTTTATTGCTTTTTTTTTAGCAAAAATTGTTAATATTATTATTATGTCATCTTACGACAGAGTGGTATCCAATTCCAAAATCATTCGTTTTATAGTGGCCCTACAATCATTTTTAAATCAATTTTAGTGTACCTAAAGGTCGTTCATCTTCTGTGACAGGTACTGACATTCCGTTAAAAAATTCGAATTAGAATGCATACAGATTAGAAAATAGGCTATAGAACCTTTGAGTATATTTGGTTGAGAAAGTATTAATTATTTCCAGAAGTGAAAAATAAAGACTACTTTACACTATTAAGATGCAAAATAACTTTCATAAAGTTGTCTTTAGATATATAAGATAGATATATAATCTTTTTCGTCAAAATAATTTTTTACAAAATTGTTAACGTAACAAATTTTTTTATTACAAAATTGTTAACGTAACAAATTGACTGGAACAAGCAGAAAACAATGGTCTTATCATCTTGCCCAGTTAATTTCAATTTATTTTACAATAAACATCAATTAAATATGAGATAAACACAAGTTAAAATATATTTAAATATATATAAATATAAACACTCGTATGATTAAAAAAGCCAAATAAATATATCTTTATAAATATAAATACAATTAAATGCATTTTTTATAAATATAACCATAAGCATCTCCAGCATCTGTGGAATATAACCATGCATCTCCAGCATCTCCAGCTATTGTGGCAGTGGCGGAACTTCAAAATTTGCCCCCCCCCCCCCCGCAAAAGAATGTTTTTTTTGCGGAAAAGAGTTTTATAGTATAAATATTATTGAGAGTATAACTTTTTTTATATGAGGGCCCCCTATAGCTGGTAGGACCCCTGCAACGCAGGGTCCTGCGTCCAGTAGTTCCGCCACTGTATTGTGGAAATAAATAACAAATTCAAGCGCAAGAGTTTTAAAAAAATTAATGCTGAGGTCAAGTAACTGTTGTTTAACAACGCATTTAAGGTGGTAGTATCGTCAGAAATTTCAAATTTTTTGATTTTTTGAATATAACTTTTCCTGGCATTTTCATTCATGCTGAAAACGATGGAACTATTATTTTTTCAATATAATTTATATAAAGCCTTTTATTTTTCATTTTAAAAAAGGTACTATGAATTATTGCTCCTTAGCAACTCCATAGCAACAAAAGTAAACATCATGTATGAGCTGCCTTAAACAAGTATTTTCTTCAGTACTGAAGAAAATACTTGTTTAAGGCAGCTCATACATGATGTTTACTTTTGTTGCTATGGAGTTCTAAACACTTACTGCAGTAAGTGTTTAGAAAATACTAAGTGATATTTGGCTTCTTTTTTTGCCTTAAAAATTAATAAACCAGCATTTATAATCACTTTATTTTTTGGCGTGATTGTAAAGTGGCTTTAAAGCAAATATTATTTCAGTTATTAATGTTGAATATAGCCTGAGTTTAATTGCTTAGTATTGTTATTTTTAGTTATTTAGTGTATATTAAAATAAATAAATTACTTCTAATCGTTAAAATGAAAACTGATGCTTTGAGGAGAAGAAGTATTGGTGCTTCCAGAGTTTTTAAAAAAAGAAGAAGAACTTCAAGAACATCAAGTTCGTCTATTTTTCCCCAAACTGAAAATACTTTTGCAAGCAGAGAATTGCCATTAATTGAGAGTAATGATTTAAGCATTTTACCTAATTTTACAAGATCAACCAGCAATGTTGTTGCTAATAATGAAGCTGTTCCACAACCTCAAAGTAATAAAAACGAGTCTAACTATATTTTAATTGATCTTGATATTATTGTACAAATTATTACCTTAGTTGGAACATGCCCTGACTGTGAGAGCAAGTCTATCAACTTAAATATAGATCATAAAAATAAAAAAGGTTCAAGTTCATTGTTGATATTGAACTGCAGTGAGTGTTTATGGAAAACAAAGTTCTATACCAGTAAAAAAGTTTCAAGTAAAACTTTTGAAAAACCTTTTGATATAAATTTACGTTCTGTAATTGCAATGTTTATAAAGAAAAACCAGGTCTGCCTACTGTTATTAGGGACATAATCAAACCAAAATTTATTGACTTATCTGATGAAAACCTGTTAAAAAGGTGCCTTCATGGAAAAACTTAAAACAACAATGAAGCCTTGAATGCAATAATTTGGAAACGGTGTCCAAAAGATATTTATGTGAAGCAAACTGCTTTGGAGATAGGTGCAGCATCTGCTGTTATTAATTTCAATGAAGGATTAGCTGGTATACTAAATGTTTATTTAGAGCTTGGTATGAATCCTGGTAAAAACTGTATTACATTTTGCAATCAAAGAGATAATCAAAAAAATTAAAAATATAGCAAAAAAATCGACTGATAAGGTAAAGAACGTCGGAAACAAATTATGGTCCTAGAAGTTTTTAGTTGTTTTGCATTATTTCAATTGATATAACTATTTAATTGATATAACTAATTTTAATTTAAAATTATAAATATGGTTGTCATAATTTTGACTTTTATATTTTTTTTATTTTATTTTATATTTTTCATTTTTTCATTACAAGGATATAACCTTCTATATGGTACTTAAAAAAGTAATTAAAATT